TACTATTTTAGGTACCGATTCAAGTGTCATAGAGGTAAGGGGGAAATAAAACCGTTTATATGACTATGCTACAATGTAAAGATTATTTTGATTTTCTCCTAAAATCTCCTGCTTCATTGGGAGATTGCCTATGTAAAATTTCACATACTGTATTAATAAATTACTTTTTTTTACTTTTTTTTAAATTACTTATTTTTAACCCATGGCCATCGGTTATAGAAAAATTGGCCATACATGCACAAAATATATACAAATTCCAAAAAAATAAATGTTCTTTATACATTAATTTTTATGCAAAATGTAAGAAAACAAAAATATTGAACATTTACCTTTTTACTGGGTGGAGGCAGTCTGAAAGGTTGCACAGTGGCTATATGGTCTGCCATCCATCAGCACACAATGTCGCCTTTGCTGACACTAAGGTATGGTATGCGAGACAGACTCTCTCACAGCTTTGTAAACACATTGTCCTGATGTGGTAATAGTGCTAGAAACATTTCTAGAGGACAGGACCCCCAAGAACTTTGCTACAATTGCCGGACATATCTCATGCATGCGCCGAGACAGGCAGGGTAAAGGAGAGGGCGTTGCAGTGTATCAACAAATCTGTGCATGCCTAACTCATTGATAGATCCCTGGTCATCTTGAAATTATGTTCAAAATTTGCATAAATCCTGGCACCTCAATACTCGTGTGCAATGCATAGACCTCAATGACAGGGTGCGTCCCTAATTAACTTCCTGATGGATGGGCAACCTAGACTCCCTGCTAATACAACTTGACTCGGCACATAACTATCAGTGACCTCAATCAGTACCTCGTACAGAGGGATTTTGATGAACTCTTAACAGTTTTCAACTACAAAAATTTTGTGGCCTTTCCAACCCACATATTGGCCTTGTTCCTTGATCCTGTTGCAACTGATCTTGCTGCAAGCAAAGTTCACTGCAGACCCCTGGGATATGTTGGTTCATTGGACCACCAGGCTGTCTTTACCACTCTGGCTATCTCGACAGATCGAGGTGAAGAATCTATTTGAACTACCTGGCTTTGAGATAGGGTAAACTGGCCAGTCCTCTGCTCAGAGGTAGAAGCTACTGATTGGAATGCCTTGCTTCAGGGAAATGTGAACAGACATACTGGACCTCCAGCACAGACATATTCCTCACCAGCAGTATGTGACTAAGCTTACTGATCAGCCTTGGTTTGGACATCGCTGCCAGATAGCAGCCGAGGTAAAAAATAGGCCTGGCGATTTAAAAAGCACCCCTCGGCTCATAACAAACATTCACAGGCAGTCTTTTCTTATAATGAAGAGTTCAAAGGTGGGCTATATCCAGATGGATCTCAGAAACGAAGAAAACTTGTGTCTGAAAAAGTTGGATCTAAGGTCTGATGGTCCCTGATTAAAGATCGGCAGGGATATAGCCTCTATATCTAGCGCCTAGCACTGTTTAGGATGACTGAAGTAGATATGAAGCAGTTTGAAGTTCCCTATCTCCTTAAAATGCTTTACACAAGTAAAGCTGTGGACTAGGTAAAGTCAGTTCAACACTACTACACAGCTGTGCTGACCTGTTGGCTTCATCTCTCACATGCTTCTACCAACTTTGCCTAGCTCAAGGAATTTGGCCCTCCTTATGGAAGAAGGCAGATGTTGTTACAATACACAAAAAGTAGAACCAGTCAGTGGTTGGTAATTACAGACCAATATCATTGCTCTCAATTACTGGTAAAATTCTCGAAACGTCTGCGACATTTATCGTACCTCTCTCGGCAAATGATTTCATTTTTTTACAATCATCAGCTACCATGTGATAGTCGGCATGGTTTAAGAAAAGGCCGATCTGCTGCTGGTCACTTACTAAATCTCTCCAAAGTGGCACTTGTCACTGGATGAATCCAAGATCACAAGATCAACTGTGTTGTTGCTCTAGACATAGCAGGTGCATTTTATTAGGTTTGGCACTCTAGAATAGTAGTGAAGCTTCAAGTACTAGGCATCTTAGGTCCCATTTTAGAGTTAATAAAAGACTACCTTCAAGAACACTCAGAGTGGTCCTCAATGGAGAAAAATCAGAGTTAATAAATGGCACTCAATTGGTGCCAGCGTGCCACAGGGCAACGTGTTTAGCCCTCTGCTGTGGAAAGTCTATTTCAATGATCTACTTCTTCTTAGGTCACATTTGTGGCTGAGGAAACACAGGTGATGATGACTAGACTGCACATTGCAAACTGGACAGGTTTGCAAATGGGTAGCAAAAACCTGAAGTTCACAGATGAAATTGACAATTTGGGAATGAAGGTTGACTCTTCAATGACAATGAAGAGCCACGTGTTTAAACTAGCCCAAAAGGCAGGCAGGCAGGAAACTTACAGCCCTATGGCACATCTCACACCTGGACAGCAGGGGCAACAAAACCTTATATGAAGAATAGATTCACTCTCATCTTGAGTTTGCATCCCTTTTCAGGATTGTCTGCCCTCCATCATTCATCAGACTTTTGGACAGAGTGGAGAGCTGTACACAAAGGCTCATCTCTAGTCATGATGAAGTCTTGTGGGAATGGTTGGGTGCCTGACAGCTGGGTGGACAGCGCTTCGGATTCGTAGTCCTGAAGTTCCGGGTTCGATCCCCGGTGGAGACGGAGACAAATAGGCAAAATGTTTCTTTCACCCTGATGCCCCTGTTACCTAGCAGTAAATAGTTACCTGGGAGTTAGACAGCTGCTACGGGCTGCTTCCTGTGTGTAACAAAAAGGAGGCCTGATCGAGGACCGAGCCGCGGGGACACTAAGCCCCAAAATCATCTCAAGATAACCTCAAGATCAAAACCTGCAATACCTTCCTGATGATGGTGGACTTACCATTATGTACACTACCAACATTCTCAAAGTTCCACACCTGGCCCATCTCCGTGGTCAACCAGCAGTTGGCACCCATAACACTAAGTTTTCAACCTTCAACAGTCTCATGCTGAAACTACCTTTCTCAAGAACATCACTCCATCAGCGATCATTCATTCCTAGGCCGACTTGCATCTGGAACTTAACAGGTCGATACATGGAAGATCAGGTCAACTGATCACATGAAGGCTCTGGCACACGGCTGGCTCTGGGCTCATCCTGTTCCTTAATGATTGTTGTTGATGAATAAACATTATTGGAAATCAAAAATATAACTTAAAACAAACTTCACCTTACTTCTTGTTGTTCATCTTGTTTGATACTATAGATCTTAAAATGTGTTGTTCTTGAAAATTTACCTAACCTAATCTCTGGTTACCTAGATTTCTGCCTGAATATGGTAAAGTTTTGCCAGAAAATTATCCGGACGTGATTTTGGCCAGATAACTCAAATATTCAGTTCAGTTGGCTTTGGATAACCAAGCTCATGCAGTACAAATAGGAAAGGTATAAGAGAAAAAATCAAATGTATCAACAAAAAACGAGTCAATACCAAGTGATGGTGCAGTTCAAGTCATTCAAGACAACATGGCAAAAAGACAGCAGTGCGAGCCACTGGATGTTAGCATACCTTGAGGTGTTTTCAGGGCTTAGCGTCCCCGCGGCCCGGTCGTCGACCAGGCCTCCTCGTTGCTGGACTGGTCAACCAGGCTGCTGGACACCGCTGCTTGTAGCCTGATGTATGAATCACAGCCTGGTTGATCAGGTATCCTTTGGAGGTGATTATCCAGTTCTCTCTTGAACACTGTGAGGGGTCGGCCAGTTATGCCCCTTATGTGTAGTGGAAGCGTGTTGAACAGTCTCGGGCCTCTGATGTTGATAGAGTTTTCTCTCAGAGTACCTGTTGCACCTCTGCTTTTCAATGAGGGGGTATTCTGCATATCCTGCCATGCCTTCTGGTCTCATGTGATGTTATTTCTGTGTGCAGGTTTGGGACCAGCCCATCTAATATTTTCCACGTGTAAATTATTATGTATCTCTCTCACCTGCGCTCAAAAGAATACAAATTTAGGCTCTTTAGTCGGTCCCAATAGTTTACATGTTTTACCAAGTGGACTCTAGCAGTAAAGTATCTCTGCACGCCCTCCAGGTCAGTAATTTCGCCAGCTTTGAAAGGGGCTGTCATTGTGCAGCAGTATTCCACTCTAGAGAGCAATAGCATCTTGAAGAATATCATCATTGGTATAGCATCTCTAGTGTGAAAGGTCTTTGTTATCCAACCTGTCATTTTTCTTACAGCTGTGATGGCTACTTTATTGCATTCTTTAAAAGGTAAGGTCTTCCGACATGAGTACACCCAAATCCTTTACATTGCTTTTTTGTTCTATGTCATGATTTGACCGTTTTGTACATAGTTCCCGTTTTTATACTTTCATTTTTTCTGTAGCGCATGAGCTGGAACTTATCTTTGTTAAACCACCATATTATTTTCTGTAGCCCATAGAGACCTGATTTACATCTGATTGGAGGTTTGTCATGTCCTCTATGTTGTCTACTCTCACAAAAATCCTAGTGTCATCTGCAAAGGATGATACGGTACAATAGATTGTGTCCTGTATGTCCGATATGGAGAAAAAAATGCTGTAGCAAGTACAGTACCCTGGGGGACTGAGTTCTTAACGGTTGATGGACCGGATTTTATTTTGTTGACTATTACACAATTTTTTTTTTTGGCTTTTTCGAAATCTGTGTAAATTACATCAGCGTTTCGTCTTCCATGGCATCTAATGCCATGTCATAGTGGTCCAGCAACTGTGATAGGCAAGAGCGCCCTATTCTGAATAGGGAGCATAGGGAGCGTTCTTGGTTCCTTCACCAAAGCCAGGTCTCTGATATCATGGAAGCCAGGCAGCAGGCCCTGTTCAAAATCTTTTACAAGATCTTCTCTCATTGCTGTTTTATGCTAGTGCTTCCGAGAGGGAAACCAATGCCAACATCTGAAGAACTTTCTGTAATTTATACTCTTAAGTAGTTACACACTTTTTTTTTTTTTTTTTTTTTTTTACATACTGGAAGCTCAATTTAAAAAATACAAAGTTCATAACATGTTTATTATTATTATTATTAGGTCTTGCATTAACATACATTGATGCCCTCCTGATAAACCAAGTACTAAAATTTACAGTGGTACTAGAGGAAATGTATGTTATTTTGCTTTAAAACTTGTTGATTAAAATGACCCAAACAATTCAAAATGGATGTTCTTGACCAATTCAATACCCTGAACATTCTAGAATAAAAAGAAAAAATGCTCCTACATTTTTTTTAAAGATAGTTCATGTAAAAGTGGTTAAGACACCTTATTGCACATTCTAAAACATTGAAGCTCTTCTAAGAATAGTGCTGCTCTCAAAGATCACCAAGATCAACAGCATCAACCATTTGTTCCAATCCTCCATCTTCAGCTTTTTCATCAGCCTTTTCGTCGTCAGTCTTGTTATCAGAATTCTGTTCTCTCTGAGTGTTTAAGGTGCGCCAGCTTGATGGTTCAGCTTTCCGCAATTTTATTTCTACCTTGGATGCTGCTAAGCTTACACTGCTCTGGTCTACATCAATCAACTGTAAAAAGATGTCCCAATTTAAGCATAAAGAACTTATGGCTTTTGTTCAACAGACTAATAATAGTAATAAAATATTAAGTGAAACATTGCTTCTGTACTGTGTTATGCATAATTTTTCAGTTTGGCTAAGATGGCAGGGCATCAACTGCTGTTATATACCTTAAACACATCACATTTGTTATGATTACTAGCTTACGTATTGCAGATATTATACACACTACACAATTACCACCCCTTGTACTTTAGTCAAATTCAAAAGTTAGTTTTCATAACTTATACTGAATACAGTACATGTACATCCTGAAGAAGAACCATTTAAGAATAAAATAAAATAAATAATAAAGGAATTTCAATTAGGGGGAGGGGAACAATACAATGAATAATTCAATGGCAAGGAATGCAAAGATGACAAGTGCAACTTACACCTGTCGATGATTCCCAGGATCAACATCCATGCGGCCCACACTCTGACCAGGCTTCCTGATTACTGGTGAACCTCCACCAGTACATGTGGTGATTGGTACATCACCAATCATGGTAATGTTGAATAACCATTGGGTTTATCCACAATAGTAATAATAGTAATAAAATATTAAGTGAAACATTGCTTCTGTACTGTGTTATGCATAATTTTTCAGTTTGGCTAAGATGGCAGGGCATCAACTGCTGTTATATACCTTAAACACATCACATTTGTTATGATTACTAGCTTACGTATTGCAGATATTATACACACTACACAATTACCACCCCTTGTACTTTAGTCAAATTCAAAAGTTAGTTTTCATAACTTATACTGAATACAGTACATGTACATCCTGAAGAAGAACCATTTAAGAATAAAATAAAATAAATAATAAAGGAATTTCAATTAGGGGGAGGGGAACAATACAATGAATAATTCAATGGCAAGGAATGCAAAGATGACAAGTGCAACTTACACCTGTCGATGATTCCCAGGATCAACATCCATGCGGCCCACACTCTGACCAGGCTTCCTGATTACTGGTGAACCTCCACCAGTACATGTGGTGATTGGTACATCACCAATCATGGTAATGTTGAATAACCATTGGGTTTATCCATGGCATCAAGGCCACAATCTTGTATAATAAACATGGTCCATGTTTCCTCAAATGCTTGCCTGACAGATGTATCAAGTGGCCACCGAAGTGACAATGGTGTATAAAAAGTGGCCGCTGAAGTGACAATGGTGTATGAAAGGTGGCCGCTAAAGTGACAATGGCAAGTGACGGCCTAAAATGCTATGCATATTAGTGGCTTTTCAAGAATGTTTTGATAAAGAGAGTGCTTTAGTAAATGACATCCTTATGTCTCCAGATGGAGACATATGGAAGCGGTCTGAACGTCCCAAACAAGACCCAGACAGGTCCGAACCCGAGACAGAACCAGATGGGACTTCCTCCAGTTCACCAAGAACCCGAACCCGGCGAACTGGGAAAAAAACCACCACTCCAGCGAGCAGACAGGCAGAACGGATGGGAGCCCACACCAACCAGCCGTCGAGGTGGGCCAACACCCGAATACCTAGCAGACGTAGATAGGCCACCACGAACCGGGTAAAACGCAGAAATGTGAGGTGCCAGAAGCTGGCCAAAGGAAGGCCAATGAAGAAGAGCAAGCCACCCCACCACGAAAATGAACCAGTCCCAGAGGAAGCGAGATACTCCAACACAAGACCCAAAAGGCCAGACATACTACACAATAGCCAAGCCCCAAAAGAAGATGGAACTGGGACAGACACATCCTGAAGGAAGCCAGCGGTACAGACAAGATAAAACCAGAATGAACCGAAGACCCGCTCAGTCCCGTTACAGGACGAGAACAAGATGATCTGACGGAGCGAGGGGGAAGAAGCCCGTCCCATCAACTACAAACCCTCCCAGGAGGAGGAGCTGCCGCCTAACACCACCACAGGCCACAGGACATGAACCGAACCCCCCCACGAATCACGGGACCAAGCGTGGGCAAACAGAGCAAGTTGTTTGCTCATTGGTAAATTTTAAAGCCCCATTGGCTTTACCCATTGGTAAAACCAATGGTAAAACCAATGGGGCGATCCACGAAGGGACCAGTGCCCACTCAGAAAAAAATAAAAAAAAAATAAAAGAAAAGCAAGAAGCCGACTTACAAGCAACACGCCAACCAGACAATGACGGCTCTAGAGAAGGAACTGGCACAAAAGCTGCACCAAAGGCCCCCTCGACAAGCAGAAGCCAAGACAAGAAGTGCACGGAGGTGCGGGGGTCCCGGTCCCGGTCAGCAAGGTGTGATGTTTGCTCGTTTCCTTGGGATTTGAGGGAGTTCTGCCTTTTCAGTTTTTGGTTGCAATTTTCTTACCCATGTAGGGTCTGTTTTGTTATGCCTACCATTCTGGGTGCTTAACCCAGGTCGATGGCAGATAAGGAAAACCTTCTACCACGGGGGGGGGGGGGGGAAGAGTTTTCCAGGGGCCATTGCTCCCTGTCTCTCTCTAAAGGGGCCAGGTTCTGGCTCGTGGTCCCCGGTAGGCTGAACTCCATTGACTAATGCCCTGGTCTAATGTATCGCATAATAGTCCGATAGCTCCAGGGAGACTAAGGGGCTCCCCACAGAAAACTTGTAATCCAAAGCATTCGTAAACCAAGGTTCCACTACTGTACTGTATTTAGAGTTCCTGGTTGCACAAGTTGTATAGTCAAGGAAAGTTTGACTTATGCACAGCTTATGTAAAGTTATGAATGTTCTGGAGGTGTCATAGCATGAGGCAATGTTCTTATGAGCATCAGTGTTCTTAAATACAATAGCTTCCTCAATTGCAACATAAGCACCACAAACATGATCAGAATGAAAAGTTTTGCAAGTACTATACAGTACTTGCACAACTGCTTCGTAAATCCAGCCCTAGGTTGTTGGGAGGTTGTTTACATCTACCACAGAACTGAGGGTGGGCTTAACCACTGTGATGTGCCGAGTTTATTGTGACATTCCCCCTGTGCACGTAAAACTAAGTGTTCGCAAACATTTTTTTTTTATCTTTGTAAAATGAAAAAATTCCCACTCCTGAACACATACATGTAAAAAAAACTAAAAAATTCCACTTACTTTGGCTATGGGGATGTGGAGAAGGGGGCGTCACGGGTTGGTCGCACACGCATGAAGCTCCCAGAGGCGGTCGCACGCCATTCAAGCACCGCGAGTTGCCACAAATTTATTTTAAATTATTTGTTCTATGCATTTCCAATGCAGTTGTATACATTGTTTTTATCATATATGATGCACATTTGTGTCCTTTACAATATGTATACAGTAGAATGTTCATAATGTTCCATGGAACTGTGATACATGTGTCAGTAATGTGTCCACAATAAATGTTTATTGTCGCAATATTTCTTATTGTAATTTTAGTGAATTTTTAACATATACAGTTTCACACACTATTTACACAGTAACACACTGTATTACACACTCAGTACCTTGGAAGCGAGTGATAATCAATGAAGCAGTCCGTGGAACACAGTGTGACTTCGCTCTCGTTGCACGGTACGGATAGATTTTCGCTTCCTGTTTCTTCGTTCTGTGTGCTTGCAAACAACGCACTAATGTACACCCCTTGGCTTTAGTACCTGTAGGTGGTATGTAGCCAAGCTTGTAAAACATTAGGTAGTCTTGAAAAGATTACAGGAAAAGATCAATTTGTAAGGTGGTTTTGACAAGATTGCTTTGTAAGGTCCCTCACTAGAAGATATTCAACCATTCTTGAAAACATTTATGGAAAACACCACCATGGAAGCCGCTAACACTGTTCATCTATGCTACATGTATCAGAGGCATCGTCACTGAACCCAGAAAACGATTCATCTATTTATTATCTATAAAAATTGAAGATGGCATGGGTGGGCAAAAGTGGCACTCTAAGCTACAACTGGATACGCTCGCTGTATCATCCTCATCGGTGCTGAATCACTTGCATCCAACCTTTATGATAGGTCCTTATTGCACTTGGCTTCATCAATATCATGACCCTTATGTTCTTCAAGCAATAAGGTCTGAATTTCACCGACAGAGCGATCTTTCAACACCGTGTCAGACAGGTGTTTGGGAGCCAGAGATGCGTGCGCCACCCATGGTTGCTCACTCAGTACCAAGCCAGCCAGCAGCCCTAGGACATTCTGGGAATTTTTTCCAAGATGGTTGCCTTTCACTGGAGGTCCCAAGAGTTCATTTCCTTCATAACCTACCGTGCATGTGTTTTTAATGGGAACGAAATATTCAAAAGGTGTTTTCTCGGTTGGCATAGTTTTCCCCACTGACAGTTTTCTCGGTTGGTGTGGAACAGTGGTTAATGGCTGACCAGGAGCCAACTCCTCCCGAGTGTGTGTGTGTGTGGGGGGGGGGGGGGCAAATGAGTGGGGGGGGGAGTGGGGGGGGCAGGTGGTGGGGCAAATGAGTGGGGGGGGGGCAAATGGGGGGGGGGGCAAATGAGTGGGGGGGGGGGGGGGGGGGGGGCAAATGAGGGGGGGGGGGCAAATGAGTGGTGGGGGGGTGGGGGGGGGGCAAATGGGGGGGGGGGGGGAGGGGGGGGGGGGGCAAATGAGTGGGGGGGGGGCAAATGAGTGGGGGGGGGAATGAGGGGGGGGGGGAAGGGGGGGGCAAATGAGTGGGGGGGGGGGAGGTGGTGGGGCAAATGAGTGGGGGGGGGGGAAGAGGTGGTGGGGCAAATGAGTGGAGGAGGTGGAGAGAATGAGCTGGCATTAGTTTTAAGAGATTTCAATCATTTGTTTACATTGTTAGGGGTGTTCTTTCAATGGTTCTCAAAGCTCCAGCCTCATTTGAAGCCAGTTTGTTTTGTCTCGCCGAGTTTCTGGGTGCCTTTCCCGGTGGTGGCATAAAAATAGAAATGTAGAAGAAATAAAAGCAAGTGTACCATGAAAATAACGGGGGAGGAGTCTTCGACTATCACTAGTTTAGTGTCGATACCACAACGACTCTATATAGTACTTTTTTCCAGCTCATTATTACTTCAAGACCATGTTTTTATTTTACATGTCATCGTCAACTTACCCCGGTAAGTTCAACATCCAAAGAAAACACATTTTCCTCTCCGAAGACAATATTTGCATTTAATCTGATGGGATTAGCTTCTACATAGGTTGGAGCAGGATCAGTCAGCTTTGCATAGACTGCTACACACACATGGGTAGCAGTCTGATGCCAATCATATCGACAGGCAGCCACCTTTTTTGCTTCCTGGAAAAAAAAATATGGCTGTAGCTACTATTAACATTTTAATATACATGCATAAGTAAACCAAATACAATTCAACCTTCGTCTAATCAACATTAACATTTATGTTAGTTCCTTTTAAAGTATCGTGTACTACAAGGCAAAAACCATCATGCAATCATTTCCCTATTTTCTCCTTTTTTATATGCATTTATTACACACACTTGGGCCAATATGTGCTGCTACTGCACCACTTTGCATGCAGCCACTTTGTCATATCTCATAGTAAAGAGAACCCTTTACCCACTGCTAACACCTTATTTTCCCTTCATTTTTTTTTCTTAATATTCTCTTATATTCCTTCCCCACCCCCGTCCACTTATTCATTTCTACGTGCATAGTTAAGACCACCATCACACTGTCCATCCTTTGTCAATCCAATTTTAGTCCAGCTACCTTCCCGAGTGTGCTCATTTCGGGAGAGTGTCCTAGCTTGCTGGTTGGCAGTCCATGTCACCACTGTTTGACTGACCTAGCTTTTTTTTTTTTTTTTTTTTTTTTTTTTTTTTTAATATTATGTGACCATTTCAAATCGCCTCACTTTTATTTTGCTAATAATATCTAACAGCCCTGGTACTCTTGAGGACACCTGGCCACCACACACAACGACACCACAGAGGACAGCATGAAGGTAAACTCTGCTTGGAAATCAAGACCAGAGATGACGTCCACCCTAGATCGCTTTAGTCAACAAACTGAGGTTGGGCGGTCGGCTCCCCCTCCCCAACCTGAGGGGGGCGTGGACAGCATGGTGTGATGTTTGCTTGTTTCCTTGGGAATTGCAGAGTTCTACCTCTCTGTTCAGCTTTCGTTTATATTTTTCTAGCCTTGTGGGGTCTTAAAAGGTCATAAGGGCCTTGTTAGGCCTACCTTTTTTGGGTGCCTAACCCCCAGTTGATGGCAGATAAGGTAAACCCCCAACCACAGGGGAAGGGGGGTTCCAGGGGCAAGGGCGATTCTGAGGGGACCAGGTTCTGGCTCATGGTCCTCGGTAGGCAGAACTCTACTGACTAAAGCCCTGGTCTAATGTATTGCATATTACCCCAGTAACTCCAGGGAGCCATAGGGGATCCTCACAGAAAGGAGAATTGGCTTCAATGATTTATAGCAAAAATTAGATAAAGTATTTCTATAATGAAATGAACGTTAAAGCAGAGTAGGAATCAACTGGCACCAGAACTTGCCTTCCGGTAGTGCCCAACCTACAGTACCATGAATCAGTACCATCATGGATGGTAAAAAGTCTGTACAGTACTATTATGAAGCACAAAATCAAAGTAAAAATTGCCAATTCATAATTTAAGAGAACTTTATATATTTTACTTCAAAATATACATATTTTTCTCTGTGCACTTAAATTAGCACAGTAAGTAAACTTCTTCACAATAACACTGGGCATGTCTAGGGTCATTAACCATATCACCCCAATGTTGATTCTCTTGAAGAATGGCCTTATTTACTCTATTTTTTAATCTTGTCATATTTTCATGAGTTATGAATACAGAAAATGGAGAGTTCATATAATGTAAAGGTTGTCTAAATATTTATGCTAGAGTTACAACAATTCCCTTCTACAACAATTCTAACCTCTAGGTATTTATTCCCTACTGCCAAATCTCAGCAATCTCTCTACATCGATAAACACTTACATCCCTCTTGCTTATTAATATACAATAAACAAATTCAGCATTTTCCATATACTGTGTTGTATATAAAACTTCATTAATTAAAAGTTAAGAGAAGTGCAAGGCTTACCAGCTTTACCCAGCAGTGATGGCCAGTAGTGCAGCCCAACTGCTCCAAGAACTCGGAGAAGTCAGTGGTTTTCTTTTGGCAACAACTCCAGTACTTGAGTCCTTCATGAAATATGGGAATTCCAGGATGGTACTTGCAAATGTCCAGATTACTGTGTTCACCTTCATAAATCTGCAAACACGTGTAACAATAATTAAAACACTCCCAATTTTAAAATACTGTACACAGAACCATGTTTTCTGTGAACCATTCACAGAAAATGTTGTAAATAATTCTACTCTCTCTTTCTCTCTCTAAAAGGCAATGAATGTCACTGCAAAAAATTATGACAAGGAATATAATTTCTAAGATATGAAGCTCAGTGCAATCAGGCCATACAGAGTACAGATCACGGCAGAGTACTGAAGAGAGATGCAGTATAGTGTCAAGAGTATAAGAGTTGACACCTTGATAGCTGCTGAACACTGAGGTTTAAGTACAGTAGTCACCTACAAGTGTATCCTTTAGTAATGACCATTTAGAATTTTTCAGGTGTACTGATTTGATTAACCCTTGGACAGTGGCTGTGGAAAAATTATCAACCACCCCCATGCACAAAAAATACAATTTAAAAAAATAAATGTTCATTATAGAATTATTAATTTCCACACGAAATGTAAGAAAAACTAAATTAAGCGAATATCTACTTTTTTACTGGGTGGAGGCACTCAAAGGTTGCATAATGGTTATGTGGTCTGGCATTTGTCAACGCATGATGTCGACTTTGCTGACACCGAGGTACGCGAGATACGACTCCTGTGTTCTACTTGGATATTTCATTGATTGTTTATCACTTTATCTACAAGAGTATGTGTGTTGAATACCTTATTAAATCATTCAAATAATGCATAATGCAGGGAGCCAGTCGGCCGAGCGGACAGCACGCTGGACTTGTGATCCTGTGGTCCTGGGTTCGATCCCAGGCGCCGGCAAGAAACATTGGGCAGAGTTTCTTTCACCCTATGCCCCTGTTACCTAGCAGTAAAATAGGTACCTGGGTGTTAGTCAGCTGTCACGGGCTGCTTCCTGGGGGTGGAGGCCTGGTCGAGGACCGGGCCGCGGGGACACTAAAAAGCCCCGAAATCATCTCAAGATGACCTCAAGATAACTTAACTGTTGATTGGTTTATCTGGTATACATCATTGCAATCATATGGAGTAGTGAAAAGCCATATAAACATAATATACAATGGTGTTGGGCTCTGGATAATGACAGGGCATAATTGGCACTATATGGGCAACAATAGTAGATTGAAACAGGCATAAGCCCACCAATGCGCCATCCACAGACGATGGCAGGTTCCTAGTACACAATGCACGATTATGGTTCAAATTTATCTCCATGTGGTAAATCTAATTACAACCATATGGAGTTCTGAAAACAATATTAACATCATTGGTATACCTATGTAATTATGATGGCATTTTATACAATGACAGCATTCACCTAGTAACATTTATAATAACCACAGTCACACAGTAATGTAACTATTAAATGACAGGATCCCCCCCCCCCCATGAGTCAAGTCAAATTCCATTGCAACCATAGAGCTATTATATCTGTATTTGCATCATACATGTACATTACAGACAATATTTGTTTAAAATCATGACGATAACCACATTACCTTGTGAATGAACAACATAACCGTTGTCTAAGAGTCAATTCTCACGGTGGATTTGACTAGTTCTATTTCCAGTTTTTCTCCAGTCTGTGCATTTATTTTGCTTCCTTGGCTTGTAACTATGGCCTCTTGTTCTTAAAGTTGCATTTCAACAATTCCTCCTTGTGAACAGTGTTAATTTCAGTCTCTTTTTGTATGTGGTGATGACATCTCTTTCCTTATAAATTCTTACCTGGACCATACCTGGAGAGGGTTCTCAAGGAGTTGTTCTACTTCCTCAGCCAGGCCCAGGGCCAAGCTCACTTTATTATAACTTGGTCCAACAAACTGTTGCTAGCAGCTGCCCGCAGGTTCACACATCCATTATAGCCCAGTTGTTCCAGCACTTCTTGCAAGAAATTATCCAATTGGTTATTGAAGAAATCCATCTTTGTTCTGGCAATACAGTACTGTATTTCTAATGCTTGCTGGGAGGCTGTTGAACAGCTGTGGGCCTCTGATGCTTAGTGTTGTCTGATTGTACCCAAGACACCTCTACTCCTCACTGGTTCTATTCTACAATTCCTTCCATATCTTTCACTCCAGTACGTGGTTATTCTACTTTGCATGATGGGACCTGGCCTTCCAGCATCTTTCATGTAGAGAACCACAGAATACTGTGGTTCTCTAAATTATCAGTATTGAGTTTTGTTCAGTGTCCAGCGTTATTTCTCAATTTGCTTAATCGCTGGAAGCTTATCTTCTAGCTTTGGTATATTTAACACCTTCAGCCTCTCATAGTTCTTGTTCTTCAGTTATTGAAATAATTTAGCAGAATGTTTTTGCACAATTTTTAGTTTATTCATGTGCTTTTGGAGATATGGACACCACACCACTGCTGAACTTTCAAATTTTGATCATCACAAATGTTGAACAATTTCTTAAACATTACTCCAACCATAAATTTAAAAAAAAAAATTTGAATGTGTGTATGTAATTACCTAAGTATAGTTATAGGATGAGAGCTATACTCATGGTGTCCCATTTTCCCAGTACCCTTTGTAGTATGCTTTAAAACTATGGACTGTTTTGGCCTTCATCACCCTCTTTCTCACTTGTTCCAACTATCTACCACTCTGTTTGCAAAATAAAATTTTCTAATATTATTTCGGCACCTCTGTTTCCTTAACTTGAATCTGTATCCTCTTGTTCGTTAAGTTGCTTGTTTCAGGCACTCCTCTTTGTCAATTTGGTCTATTTAGGTTAGTCTTTTATAAGCGATTATCATTATCGCCTCTAACTTCTAGTTTTGGCATGTTTAACGCCTCTAGTCTCTCCTCATAACTTTTTTTTCAGTTCTGGAAGCCATTTTGTAGCATGCCATTGCATCTTTTCCAGTTTATTTGTGCGCTTCTTGAGATTTGGGCACCATACAACTGCTGCCTATTCCAATTTTGGTCTCAAAAAAGTCATGAACAGTTTGTTAAGCATTTCACAATCCATATACAATAATTAAAAGCAAGTCTGAAATTGGAAAGTGATGCACACGCTCCTCTCACAAATATTCTTTGCGTTTTCCACTGGCAACAGCTTACTATCCAAAACCACCCCAAGTCTCATTATTAGAGTTCTGTACTGTAATTCCTTTTCACATTATTTGTAAGTTGTGTGTTAAATTCTCCGATTCCACATTCCATAACGTGGTATTTATTCACATTGAATTCCATCTGTCACTTAACACTCTAAACACTTATTTTATCTAGATCAATTTGAAGGGCATAACAATCATCTGCATCTCCTATCTTTCCCAGCACTTCCCCTCCCTATCACTCGTGCGTGTAATTTTTCTGAGTGTAGTAACAGGATGAGCGCTACGCTCGTGGTGTCCCATCTTCTCAGCACTGTCATAAGGCTTTGAAATTACCGACTGTTTTGCCATTCACCACCACCTCACCTAACTTGTTCCAACCGTCTACCACTCTGTTTGTGAAAGTGAATTTTCTTATATTTCTTCAGCAGCTTTGTTTAGTTAGTTTAAATCTAGGCCTCTTGTTCTTTAAGTTCCAGTTCTCACAAATTCTTCCCAATCAGTTTTATCGATTCACATTACTATTTTGTACGTAGTGATCATATGTCCTCTTTCCTCCATCTTCCAGTTTTGGCGTAATAATTACCTCTAATCTCTCCTCGTAGCTCCCGTCCTTCAGTTTTGGGAGCCATTTAATTGCATATCTTTGCACTTTTTCAAGTTGATGTGCTTCTTAAGATATGGGCACCATACAACCGCTGTATATTCCAGCTCTGATCTAACAAAAGTCATGAACAATTTCTTTAGTATGTTACCATCCATGTATTTAAAAGCAATTTTGAAGTTAGAAAGTGTAGATAGGCTCATTGCACGATGTTCTTCATGTGGTCCTCAGGTGATAGTTTTCCATCTAAAAAAAACCCTAGATCTCTATCAGAATTCTTGAAAAGATTTCTCACAATTTATAGGTTATGGTGGTTCTATGTTCTACTCCACATTCCATATAACACGGCATTTATTCACATTAAATTCCATTTGCCAAGTGGGGCTCCATATTTATTTTTCCCAGGTCTTCTTGAAGGGCATGACAATCATTTAAGTTTCTTATCTTCCCTATTATCTTAGCATCATCAGCAAACATGTTCATATAATTCTTTATTCCATCTGATAGAACGTTTATGTAGACAATGAACATTACTGGTGCAAGAACTTAACCCTGTGGTACTCCACTCGTGACATTTCTCCAGTCTGATACATTGCCTCTGATAACTGCCCTTATTTTTCTGTCAAAAAATATTTCATCCATGTTAGAAGCCTACCTGTCACCCCTCCAATATGTTCCAGTTTCCAGAACAACCTCTTATGTGGAATTCTATCTAAAGCCTTTTTTTAGGTCCAGATAGATGTAGTCAACCCAACCATCTCTTTCCTATAAAATCTCTATGGCTCAATCATAGAAACGGTAAATTCGTTAGACAACATCTTCTAGATCGAAACCCATACTCTGTTATTATATAGTTTTTCTCCAGGTGTTCTACCCATTTAGTTTAATTATTTTTTTCCAATATTTGAACTATTACACTTGTCAATGATACAGGTTTATAATTGAGGGGGTCTACTTCCCCCTCAATTATAAACCTGTATCATTGTCTACTTCCTACAATTATGTAGAAGTAGACAATTATGTCTACTTCCCATATAGCATCACAATCACAATTATCACATTCCCATCTAAGTGACTGATAACCATCATTCAACTACAGAAAATCAAATTTAGAGAAACTTACCATTTTACAGCTATTGTTTTTACAATTTTCTCCAATTTTCACTCCACAAATATTCTGTTCTTCCTTGTCATCCTTATTAGCTGTGTCTTTTTGACCTTTTGCCTTCTCTAGAGCCTGTAAGGGGTTGAGCAATAATAATATTAAAGTAAATTATTTATGTGAATGAACTGACACTACATCAAGTAGAGTATTTGCTTTTGAGTATACTGTAAAATATTCTATGGCATTTCTAATTAATATATGGAAAATGAAAAACAAAACTATAGTAACACTTCTAAAGTGTATTTACTTGTTTCAATGACTGGGTGACAGTAACTGGAAGTCGTCTCATTGGAAAACTAAAATCTGGCCTAGGAAGTGCAGGGGCAGTTTTACGTGACTCGACGGTAATAACTTCATCTCTCGTTGATGGGTCGAACCTCGGCTTCTCTGGTTCAACTGGCTTTTCAGGGTTATGTCTTCCTTTGGTGCACCCCTATAATAGATATATTTTTTAAGTGAACATTTCCTAAAATTACAAATTTGCAACAATTATTTTCTCCTGATGCCACTGTTTGCAAAAGTCAGTAGCTGAACAAAAACAATCTAGGCACCTGGCCATCAGGACAAATTTAGGCACTGCATCCATTTGGTAGCGAGTCATTTGTGGTGCAGTACACTCACCCATAACCTCGTATGTAATTTTATCTGGGTTCAAGCCCTGTAAAGGTAGCAATCATTAACCATTAGCCCCTGCTCACCCAGAAGTAAAGGAAAGTTTTAAACCTGCTAAGAGTAATCAGTAGTAGTCTACTCCTGTACACACTTTTCTAAAAGAAATTACCCCAAGTGGTACTTTAATTTGTCAGAAAACCCTTATTCCAGTAATCCATCTAAGTGCAATAACTATTAATGGTAGACAAGAAAAGGGCATTCAGTTTTTATTATAAAAGGTATATACAGTATAAAAAACAAAGGGTAAACAAATGTAGGTATGAGTAGTTTCCCCCCTACTGTATTTTGTCACCAAAATATAATAGACGATTCACTGCCAAGTTTTGTCATTTCTTTTATTTGTCAAAATATTTTGTCCACTGGAAACATTTGTTAAGTAGTATCAGATACTTTAAGCCTTTCTATACTATACAATTATGCAAATGAAAACACGATTTGTTTTTAAAGCACTATCAGAGCCAAGAAAAGTGTGGCAGAGACAGATGTGCCATGACCAAAGGGTTAATACACCCAAAGACCCAAATACAATACCTGTATATTTTTGTTGCTAGTGAAATGAAATGGAATGCACGAGTCAAAATAGCACTCAGGGATCGTAAACACCCTGTTACTGTAGTGTCCTAATACCTTTACATTTGTATACAGTCCTTTATCTCTATCAACACACCAATCCCTCCCCCAACCCCAAGGGAAGCCAGTCGGCCGAGCGGACAGCACGCTGGAATTGTGATCCTGTGGTCCTGGGTTCGATACCAGGCGCCGGCGAGAAACAATGGGCAGAGTTTCTTTCACCCTATGCCCCTGTTACCTAGCAGTAAAATAGATACCTGGGTGTTAGTCAGCTGTCACGGGCTGCTTCCTGGGGGTGGAGGCCTGGTCGAGGACCGGGCCGCGGGGACACTAAAAAGCCCCGAAATCATCTCAAGATAACCCCTCCCTCTCCTTACATTCATTCCCCAGTTGAACTGTTATAAAAAAGGCTAAATAAAAGCACGCTACTAGTAAATGATGTTATTAACTACAGACATTTCCAATATTAATTCCCCCCCCCCCTTTTTGCATTATCTCTCCACATATTTGTGCACGATGCACCTGCTCGATACCTGCTTGATGGGGTTCTGGGAGTTCTTCTACTCCAAGCCCAGCCCGAGGCCAAGCTTGGCTTGTGGGAGCTTGGTCCACCAGGCTGTTGGCTTTGAGTGGCCCGCAGCCCCATATACCAACCACAGCCCAGTTGGCCTAGCACTCCTTGAAGAAAACTATCTAGTTTTCTCTAGAAGATGCAGTGTAAACCTCCTCAATCAGCCAGCTACACTAGGTTTTACTAAACACAACTAGAGATACTGAAAGATCAAGAATATTCATGGTAAGTTAAACCACTTAAGGAAATAAAAACTGCAAAACCTCAATCACACTTCTGATTGTTTTCATACTGTACTGTACAATTGATAATATTTCATCAATTGATACTTTTTTTCATCAAACAACATACAGAGGAATAGACTGTATTCTTAATATCCCAAAATTTTACCCAGATCATTCAAGCTTTAATTAATATTGATAGATTCGCTACTTTAATACTGTACTGTACTGGCATGGATCAATGCCAAACGGTAAAATACACTATTGGACTATTATGGCATATACTAGGAGCTGATGGGTAAATCTAATAAAAACACAATACACACACTCAGAAACGACAATATCCAGCTCATATATGGTAACCAGTATTTTCTCCAATCCGTTTAACCAATGGGCAGCCAGCCACCCCAATCAGGTAAGGAATGCCGAAGCCAACCAGTGTCAGTCACTAAGCCTGTCCACCTCAACTTGGGAAGTGCCACCAGTTTGTGCATGTCCAGATTGCCACAATTACAGAGGAAAAAATTCCTAGACATATCTTCATTGAAACTTATGGTCAAACCCTAGTCTGCTGTGTACACAAGACTAGCCTTTAGAGGAAAAGGTGACTTAAAAGGCTTTAGCATTGTCTATGCCTCTCCCCCCCTCCTTGTACTCATACACCCCTAATAGAACACTACTATTTTTGCCAGAGGAATAGACTGAAACAGTAAAAGCAGATTGCTGTTAGAGGGAACACAAAGAAGGGCTGCAGCCTTTGTCAACAAACCATTAGCTTCACAGGAAAGGGGAAGAGAACCTATGTTAGAACACTGACTTTGGGATTGAATTTAGAAAACTAAAGAGGTGCAGTAAACTGCTCAAGTGTCAGTGGACTGAAATTTAAAGTATAGTTTTCCAAGAAATTTTTTATGCTACTCCCCTCTTATGCAGACTACCCCCAGAACAAATAAATCAGGAGGGGGTGGGGACTTACTAATGTGTCATGAAGTACCATTCTGACTTAAAGATAGTAAGTTCATATATGGGGACAGTCTCTGCTCAACTTTTATGTTTTAACCCTTCGACAGTGGCTATGGAAAAATGGTCATACCTGCTTGAGGAAAAAAAACAAGAAAATAATTTTTCCATATAGAATTTTTTGTATATAAAACTTAAGAAAAACATTAATATAAGTAAATACTTACCTTTTTACTGGGCAGGGGCACTCTGAAAGGTTGCATGGTGGCTATGTGGTCTGGCGTCTGTCAACACATGATGCCGACTTTGCAAATACTGTACTGTACCGAGGTATGTGTCACACGGCCCCAGTATTCTACTCTGATGTTTCATCGATTGTTTATCACTTTCTTCTCTTTATTTGCAATAGTATGTATTGAATAACTTGAATAAATCACAATTTAAATAATGCACAACAATGTTTTAATTGAAGATTGGTTTACCCGGTATAATACATTTCAACCATATGGAGTAATGAAAACCATATAAAAATAATATACAAAGTGTTGGGCTCTGAATGACGACATATGGCATAATTGGCACCATATGGGCGACAGTATAGCTTGAAACTGACGCGCAAGCCACATTTCATAACCGAGTGTTTCATAATGGAGCAGAAACTTATAAATAGCGAGCAAACATGTGCACAGTGTTACAACAGCAAAATCTTTTATAATTTACTGTAAATAAACCATTTCAGTGAGCATATTAGCGACGCATATTTGTGTGTAATGATGTCCCATACCTTACATTATAAAAACTCAGAATGACACCCTAGTGCATAATATAACTGGGAAAAAAATGTGAAAAGCAAACGAGTAACATGGAAAAGAATTTGCATAAATATAATTGTGGCAACTCCTGCCATGCACCTGGCCTCAATAACCCCAGCAGGACTCCTGCTGCACGAATGCTCACGAATCGATGACGTCATTGTACGATATCATCCCTCCACCATAGCCAAAGCTACATAACTTTTTAAGACTTTCCCTGGATCAGAGAATGAATTTTAACATTATTATTATTAAAAAAATTAGAAAAAAACATGCGCACCGGATTTTTGTCATGTAAATCGATTGCACAGCCCAGGGGGTTATGGTGACCCTTGATAAGTTTGAACAAATAACTTTCAATTAATATTGTACTGAGATTGTTCTAGAAATTACATCTTGTTAACACATTGCTTATAATGTACAATATCTTTTACAAAATTACTTGATCCTGAAAATCTAAAACAGGATAAAAAATGCAAAGGATCCAACTCCAAGCAAGTTGCAAACTTTTCGATTCTCCTCGGTTCAAGTGTTGTAACTAATAGAATGACTACAGTATTAGTAAGAGTGAGCTTCAAAGTATATCTGGGTGGATTTATTGTTTTCATATTATACATACCATCAATATTATTTTGATCTTTATGTTAGCCCTTTTTACAAAAACTTCCACGTTGCGCTATTTTTGTCGGAACGAAATCTGCAGCACTGAACTAGGGTAACTTTAAATATCTAGGGTCAGAGTGTGTTTACTCTAAAGGGCTAACTTTGTTAATACTTTGGAATGAAAACTCTTTAGAAATTTAATTTGAGAAAGGCCAGTTGAACTTTGATTCTTTGAGTAATAAAAACCTGAAGCGAAAGTTGGTTGTTGTCAACAAAATTTAATCAAGCAGAAAGACTTCATTCATGAAGTTCAGAAATACCTAATACTGTACTGTATTTCTAACATTTGTGTTAAAGAAATATTAAATTTTTTATTTTTTTTTAAATATCAACTGATAACCTTGCATGTTCTAGACCATAACAAACCACTATCTCCGTGTTAAAATTTAGAATGTATTTGAATGTTAATGATGAATCAATTTGACAACTTTAATATTAGGTTTCTAGCTCATACAATGATGCACTGGAGCCAATACTAGCAATTTGTTCACATACAAAAAATCAAAGTTTCTAGTGAAAGATATTCGATTACGAATTTTACTAATCTTAAATTCTCCAGGAACTATATATCAAGGTTAAAATGCATTGCACTGCAAAGTTAAAATTGGTCCATCATTTTAATACTCCAATTTTCTCCGAATTGAAAAGTTCTTAGAACGAGCCCACAAATATACAAGATTTACCATACATTTCATTCATGCTTCCTGGGTTATTAGCCTTTACTGTGGTTATACAAAGCTTGGATTATGGGTGGCAACACTTTACCAACAGGGTAACAAATATGTTTCTATTCCCTTCATCACATTCAGTCTTGCCACCTATACTTGAATAGTACAGTACTAGTTTTATAAAGCAGAACATGCACGAATGTAATTCAGCACGGGCCCATTACCTAGCACTATACGTATGTTTTAAAGAGTGGACAAGTACCACGGTGAATTAAGCATGAACCCCTTTACCTCGTTCGGTCTTGCCAGCTATACCTGAACAAAACTGGTTTAGGTATAAAGCGGAATGCACATAGAGTACATAATTCAGCATGAGCCCCTTACCTGGTACAGATGTCTAACGAGTGGTCAAGAGCCGTGGTAAATTCAGCGCAAGCCAGTTCACTGTGCTCATCCTTGCCATCTATACCTGAATAGAGCAGTACAAACTGAGGCAATTCAGTGAGAGCCCATTATACTACCTGGTACAGCATCTGATTCTACAAAAGTTACCATCATGAAAATAAAGGTAGCCCCTGGAAAGGATTAATGCATTACAGGCTGATCAAGCCTCATACACACTATTACGTAGACAGTAAAGGTGTGCCATCTTCCCGTATACAGTAGTACAAGTCACACCAGGTACTGTCACACCAGGTACTGTCCCATTTTCCCTTGCATTTTACTCAATGGTCCGAAGCCTAACCCAAGATGGTGAATCCTTGAACAACCTTGAAGAGTGAACAAGCTTGGTAACCTACACGGATCGCTCGTTACTGTTCTTCACTCTGCCTGAATAGCTTTCTATGTCACTAGGTTTCATATGCAAGCTAAAAGCAGTAATTTCTGAGGACTTTATAATGGCTGATTTTCCCATCAGTTTATTATGTACCATCCATGGACAGCAATTTTTTTTTTTTTTGTGCGGAATCAGCACTTAAGAGATACTGACACTCATAATTTAGGCAAAAACATTGCATAAAATGGTGCAATAATAAATTTATAACAAAAATCTTCCATCAGTCATCTTGACTGATGGTTAGCTTGTATAATATGTTACTTTTGCATAATTTTTAAATATTTGGGGAAATTAATGAAATTAATTAGATGCACAAGGCTGCATCTCCAGTTGGCCTTAAACTATGCATTATGCCATTGTTCCTTATTTGTAGGCACACATATACTTTGAAGTTTCTTTAATCTTCTAGTACTGTATAGCCAACACAAAAGTGAACCACAAATATTGATAAAACATAATGCCAAAGAAATACCATTCAAAAAACACCAGATAATCAGCTGCATGCTTTTCCATTCCATATAGAACTTGTATTCAAATCAAAGCCATTTCAAAACTTTGAAAATATTCCCCATTTTCTTAAAAAAAAAAAAAAGTGAAAGGTGGGGAGGAAAATGTAGGTACAGTAATGACAAAATGTATGTACAGATATATATATATGTGCGTGCATGTAATTACCAAAGTGTAGTTACAGGATGAGAGCTATGCTAGTGGTGTTCCATCTTCCCAGCACTCATAATTCTCTTAAACTATCGACGGTTTTGGCCTCTACAACTTTCTCACTTAACTTGCTCACTTTTCTGTTTGCAAAAGAAAACTAATATTTTTTTGGCACCTTAATTTCCTTATATAAGATTATATACATCTATAACCACTTGTTCTTGCCATTTCACAAATTCTTCTCTTGTCAAATTGGTCAAGTCCCGTTATTATTTTGCAAGTGGTGATCATATCGCATCTTTTTCCTTCTATCTTCTAGCTTTGACATATCCAACACCTCTAGTGTGCACGCTTGTAAGTACAAATGGCCACATACATATGCAATTATTGTTATATACAGTAAAATAATTTCCAGAACAAATTTAACAATGTAAAACGCCTTCAGAATTTAGAATGCATAAAAATTTCTTACCTTTGTATTAAGAAATGTAGTAAAATCTGTACTTTTCTTGTTGCAGCATGACCAACCCTTGTATGCATCATGGAATATTGGTGCACCTGGGTGATACTCGCACGCATCTGTGAAAATTAAAAGTTACCAAATAGAAAGCTTATTCAAATGTTTTCAAATTTTAAAACAGATGAGGTTCTTTACCTACTGTACTTTCCAGTTTTACATTTATTAAAGTGAATACAACTCGCCTCAAGGTTGACATTATATTGTAAGCAGTCGTAGTATAAAAATGGGTCAAAGAGTATGAAGAAACTTGAGCAAGTCCATCAGCGGTTTCATTAAGCCAATGGCTTTAGGCCTATGGGTACTGTACACAAATTTGGTTCTACTAGGCTATAATGATCTATCCACCCACTACCACCAGTAAGCATTTCAAATAACCTGGTTACACAGTTGAAGGGAAATGGGCAAATCCAAGTCAAGCCACCATCTTGAGGTTATGTCGAGATGATTTCGGGGCTTTTTTGTGTCCCCGCGGCCCAGTCCTCGACCAGGCCTCCACCTCCAGGAAGCAGCCCGTGACAGCTGACCAACACCCAGGTACCTATTTTACTGCTAGGTAACAGGGGCATAGGGTGAAAGAAACTCTGCCCAATGTTTCTCGCCGGCGCCTGGGATCGAACCCAGGACTGCAGGATCACAAGTCCAGCGTGCTGTCCTCTCGGCCGACCGGCTCCCTTAGACAAATTTGCTACGAATAAAACAAATACCTGTACTGTACAGTACAGTATATACAAATTTAAGACTTACCAACCCCTAAAAATGATGTGATGAAGCCCAAACTTGGATAATAAAGATGGCTGTCATATGATCCCTGTACAAGATCAGTGGAAAATCTCCTTGGCCTGCCAGGGTAATGATTAAACTATCAGACCAAGTCAGAACCTACACCCATGGCTATAAGCTGGACAAGATCAGACTGGGGAAGGAAATGGGTTGTTTTTGTTTGGCAACAGAGTGGTAGTCAAGTAGAATAGGTTGCTGGCCATTACCAGTTGCTAGCCTTGTATTCACCTAGTTGTACTTGTGAGGGTTGGACTATGCTCTTTCGGCCCACCTCTCAACTGTCAATCAACTGTTTCTAACTACTAACTAGCTAAATTTTTTTCACATACACACTCCCCCCCCCCCCCAGGAAGCAGCCCATAACAGCTGTCTAACTCCCAGGTACCCATTTACTGTTAGGTAACAGGGGAATAAGGGTGAAAGAAACTGCTGATCTGATTCTGCCGGCACTGGGAATCGAATCCTGGTCCACAGGACTACGTATACAGCGTGCTGTCCACTCAGCCACCAGCGCCCCGCTGTGGCACTCAACTGTTACTGGTATGAGTCAACTTAGTTCTAGAATTATTTGTTGCCTCTTGTTGAACTTTCTCCAAGGAAGCTGTCTTTCTGAAGATGAGGTCTCCATGCTTAAATACAATAATCCAAATGGGGGCACACCAGAGATTTAAACAATTGAAGAACTATCTTTTCCTTGAATTCAAAGGTTTGTTTGACCTAAGGTTTTGGGAAATTTTATTTTTTACTGCAGATCCCACTTGTTGTGTAACTTTCAGTCAATAATGCATGGAGGAATTTCATTAGGCATATATAGGTGGTACTTCACAAGGGATAATAGGTCTTCTGTAATTTCTTTTATTATTACATTCTTATAACTGCCCCAGGACAACCAAAGAGGAACTGCTTAAGGTGCCGTAGGTTGACTTTATAATCTTGAAAATAAAGTTATAAATTAAAATGTGAAATTATGAGACGGATTTAAACTATCTGGTCTAAAGGAGGTCTGGTTGAGAACCAGGCTGCAGGGATGCTAAGCCCCAAATTCATCTCAAGGTATCCAAATGCTATGTACTGTACAAATGAAGTTAGAATTTGACGCACAATATTTCACAGGGTGGGGGAGCATGATAAAACCTTACATGAACAATAAAACCATACAAAAGGTGCTCATTTCAGTCCCTAAATTCTAGTTTCCAAACTAGATATTCCACATTTTGGTCCATTTTGTACAATCACGCAAAATGGTGTGCTTCACACATCCCTAATGTATACTATGGACTAGCTTGGGTTAGCTCTGAATCCCAAGTGCAAGCACCTCTGGACAACATGGGTTCTGAACAGTATACTGTACTTTTACCTCAATTGCTAGACCAATGACATGGCCTTACATGGAAGACCAACAAAATGCTGATGTAATATACCTGCTTGATACCTACTTTATGGGGTTTTGGGAGTTCTTCTACGCCTCAAGCTCGGCCCGAGGCCAGATTTTACTTGTGAAGAGCTTGGTATACTAGGCTGTTGCGTGGAGCAGCCCGCAGGCCCACATATCCATCACAGCCTGGATGATCTGGCACTCCTTGAAGGAAACTATCTAGTTTTCTCTTGAAGATGTCCACGGTTATTCCGGCAATATTTCTTATACTCGTTGGGAGTATGTTGAACAACTGTGGACCTATGATGTTTATAGTACAGTGTTCTCCGATTGTGCCTATGGCACCCCGGCTCTTCACTGGTTCTATTCTGTACACACATATTGAAAAAGCTTTAGTCAAATATGACCATAGTGTTATTGCATATAGAATGTGTTCAAAAAGAATCACTGGAAAAATTGGAAATTGAAGATTCCCCTTTCTGACAAAAATCCAGTGTCTAATAGTCAACATAAAATCTGGATCATCCACCGTGAGAAGCTCAGTCCCCCAGGGTACTTTGCTTGCTCCAGTATTCTCCCTCATATCGGACATAGGCAAGGACACAAACCACAATACCATATCATCCTTTGCAGATGACACCAGGATTTTTACAAGAGCAGAGGACACTGCAAACCTCCAATATGATGTAAATCAGTTTTTTCAATGGTCCACAGAAAGTATTATGTTTAATGAAGATGAATTCCAGCTCCTTCACTATGGAAGAACAAATATATAAATGTGAATCAAACAAAATGTAGTCGAGTCATTATAGAACAAAAATGCAATGCAAAAGATCTGGGAGTAGTCAGGTCAGAAAACCTTACATTTAAAGAACACACATTAGTTGTCACAACCCCAAGAGAAATGACAGGTTGGATAACAAGAACATTTCAAGCAAGAGATGTCATACCAATTATACTTTTCATGATACTTGTGCTCTTTAGAGGAATATTGTTGCATAATAAAGCCCTTTTCAAAAATAGAGAAATTGCTGACCTGAAGAGTATGCAAAAATCATTTATTGCTAGAATTCACTCAAAACTAATTACTGGGACCTATTAAAATGCTTAAATCTGTATTTTCTAGAGTGCTGGGAAGATATATATAAATTACACTTGGAAAATATTAAGAGGAACCGGTTACAAACCTGCACACGGAAATAATGTCACATAAGACCACGAGCCATGTCAGAATGTGCATAATAGCTCTGTTGAAAAGCAGATGCAATACATACTGAGAACACTATAAACATCAAAGGACCAAGACTGTTCAACACGAGCCTCTCAGTGTTCAAACGAGAACTCTACAAACACCTCCAAAGGATATCTGATCAACCAGGCTGTCCTTCAGGCTACAAGCAGCCCCGTTCAACAGCCTGGGTGACCAGGAGGTCTGGTCAGAAAGCAGGTCGCGGGGACGTTGATCTTCAGAATCACCGCAAGGTAACTGAAGGTGACCGCTGCGGGGGAACCATAAGCTGCATCAACTGACATCTCACCACAAACAGATCTGACAACAGACCATATACGAAGAAAAATTCATCCAAGGTGAGTACCTTGCCTAGACCATCATAGATCATCCCAAACTGTAAACTAATTTTCCTTCCAGTAAAACTAAACCATTCCCAGAAATTGATCTCGTAATATTTAAGGTGTACCTGTCTTCCGTCAACCTTCACTTACCATCCGTGTTGTCTTCTAGTTTATATTTTTGCCCACACCCCTTGTTATAACACTGCTGCATAGTCATATTGGGTGTGGCTGAGGGTCAAAGGCGAGCCGAGATAACGGTGAGGGAGGCGAGAGAAGGTAATATACCGGTGGAGTTGAGCGCACTCTTCGCGTCACTCACCATGAAAACATTGGCCAGGCAGCGTCCCGACCCGTCACTTCTACACCCACTCTCCAACCTTCTTGAAACTTCTTAAAATACCCGCACGTAGTATATAAAATATTATTTTGTACATCAGTTATTGCACTATCATATAAAATTTATCCTCTACGCATATGTAGCCTAGAAATTTTATAGATTGTACGCTAAAGTTAAATATAAATATCGAACAAAATAATTGCCGGCAAACGAGCGCAAAATAAACACTTACCAGAATATTCTAGACTCTATATTTATATTTACCTTTCTTGACTTTTTATTTGCATTGGCGAACTTTAAAGATGTTGTTTTGCTTTATTATAGTAATAACTACCATTTCAATAAAATATTAGGAATTATTTTATAGTTATTTATCAGGAGAAACACGTGGATGCTATTGTTAAACTTTATATTTTTTTTTATTTAATAATAATAATAATTCATTTTGTCGAAGGACAGGCAGCCGGTGAATATATATACATATTAGGTTTATACAGAGATCCTCACAAAGTAGAACTGTTAATCCTCCCAAGGATGCAACCCACAACACATACCTCAGCCCGTCCTCCAAAAATGGGGTGGTCAATGTAAGAAGACAAATAAGTGCAATTATGTACTATTCATAGCAGTTAGGAATTGTACTTATTTTCACTTAGTATTAACTCGTACTGTCAAATATATTGTGAATATTTGAGTTTACCTGAAAAACTGAATAGTTAACCACAACCTCACCTAACCGTCTTACTTTTTGAAGATAATAATTTTATTGCTTCTTAATTACAATTAGTACTTAACCTATAGCTATATTGATATTACAGTTTTATAAAAATAATAAAACAAAACTAAAATATATCAATAAATTGTAAAGTAACTGAGGATATTTTAAAATTTTGTATAAAATCTATACTGTTTAATAAACCTGAAAAAGAAATTCCTGATATTTAAAACTTGTGTATTGCAAACTATGTTTGAAAATTTCATCCTAAAATTCTGAGTGTTTTAACAGAAAACGAGGAGAAGTAAATCAGGGGAGGGGGTTGGGTAAATGTAACAGCTCCATAAGTATAATTATACACTGTTTATAAGAGTAAGAAAGTGTACTTATTACACTTAGTATTAAATCGTGCAGTCCCAACATGTACCCGGGAGTGTTAGGCAACTGTTGTGGGTTGCATCTAAGAGTCAGTAAGAGGACCTGAATTTACCAGAGGGCTATTATCTCTCTAGTAGCCTCGACGAGGACAGGAAGCCGACGGCATGTCAAATGTCCCCCCCCCCCCCCCATTCGTCCTTATGATCTTCTCCAGCTGGATTTTAAAATCCAACAGTGTTTTAGCAGTTACGGCTTCGGCGGGTAGGCGGTTCCATAGGTTTATAACCCTGTGGGTGAAAAAGCATTTCCTGTTTTCTGTCCTACATTGTGGCTTGTTGAGTTTGAAGCTGTTGCTCCTTGTCTATGCTACATCTGACCTTTTGAAGACGTTGTCCGGATCTATATCCTCCAAACTGTTCAGTATTTTGAAAGTTTTGATGAGATGAGCCTTGTCATGTCTGGTTTACAGTGTTGTTAGCCCTGAGACCCTCAACAGTTCCTGGTATGACAGTCGATTTAGTTCTGGGATGATTTTTGTATCTTTCTTCAACTTTTTTATTTTTTGAACTTTCTCCACTATGTAAAAACAATGTGCAAAAATTTGATCCGTGATAACATATACATAATCAAAAATGTAATCCAAATATAACTCGTTTACCTACCGTACCTACTCTAGATAGTGACTGAGAACAATATATAAGAATTAAGGCAGGGCTTATTGGCCCACACGAGGCACCTCATACTTATATCCACCCAAACTCATTCATATTATGTTTAGTCTTGTAATATACTGGGTGAGTGGGTAGCACAAGATACCGTGTGTTTATTCTACTGTACGGCGACCAAAACTGAACCCACATAATCTGAATGGAGCCTAACATGATCAAATATGTGACTGAAGAATAACATTAAGTGTTTTGTTGCTAACGCTTCTAGAGATAAACCCCAGTATCGTATTTGCCTTATTTTAAACATTTATGAATTGATTTTTTGGCTTTGCATTGATCTTTTTCGCAATTAGAATTCACAATTTCAATACTGTTCAGCTGATATCTTGCAGCTTTATCATTACCTAGCTTCTGAACCCTACAGTTGTCAACATTAGACTGTCATTGCCAATCTTTTGACCTTTTCAAAGGCCTCTCTAGATAATCTTTTAATGATTTTGAGTCTTCTAAATGTATATACCGCCCAATGTTCGTATCGTCTGCAAATCTACAAATATTGCTGCTCAATTCTGAATCTACATTGTCTGTATACTCTGTATGTGGTAAAAAACCAGCCCGTCCTCCTAAGGTTTCAAAACGTCAAGAAAACAGTCAATTTAAAGTGTCCTCTCCTAACCTACCAGAGGACCCAAAACGGAAAACAGGACAGTACGTCACTTTCATGGGCCGATTTCATTTCAAATTACGTCCATTTTTTGGCCATACGAGCGAAAAGCGACGTAATTTTAAGAGGGTGGGTTGCACTCCTAGTCAGCCATATAAATAAATGTTATATATATATATTTATTCATTTATTTTAATGTATACACAAGAATATCATACTATGGATGTTAAGATTAAATAGGATATGAAGCTGGTGAGAACTAGAGCGTCTTGGGCGAGTACTTGAGGACGCGCCTAGAGTGGCAGCCCTTCCGGACAGAGGAGACCCTGTCGTTGGGGAAGTTAATATCCGACACTTCGTAAAGACCGTAAGACCAGCCATCATAATCGTAAGGACATATACATGCCGCTGTTCCACTGTAACCCGCGTCTCTGTCGTATATAAAATTATGTCAGTACATAATAATATTTATACATGTCTCATTGAGTATGACTGCATATTCTGTATTGATTATTTTCTGGTTTAGGGCTTCTATCCCTGTGACTAGTGCTTTTGCATCTGGGTTTAATTGGAAGAGGAGTTCTCCAAAAGTCATGGTTCTCTTCCAATTAAACCCAGATGCAAGAGCACTAATCAGAGGGATAGAAGCCCTAAACCAGAAAATAGTCAATACAGAATATGCAGTCATATTAAATGAAACATGCATAAATGAAAACCTGCTGCCAGTATACACCAATAATACAGTATATATATATATATATATATATGTCATACCTAGTAGCCATAACACACTTCTCAGCCTACTATGCAAGGCCCCATTTGCCTAATAAGCCAAGTTTTCATGAATTAATTGTTTTTCGACTACCTAACCTACCTAACCTAACCTAACCTAACTTTTTCGGCTACCTAACCTAACCTAACCTATAAAGATAGGTTAGGTTAGGTTAGGTAGGGTTGGTTAGGTTCGGTCATATATTTACGTTAATTTTAACTCCAATAAAAAAAAATTGACCTCATACATAATGAAATGGGTAGTTTTATCATTTCATAAGAAAAAAATTAGAGAAAATATATTAATTCAGTAAAACTTGGCTTATTAGGCAAATTGGGCCTTGCATAGTAGGCTGAGAAGTGAGTTCTGGCTACTAGGTACGACATATATATATATATATATATATATATATATATATATATATATATATATATATATATATATATATATATATATATATGACGTACCTAGTAGCCAGAACTCACTTCTCAGCCTACTATGCGCGGCCCAATTTGCCTATTAAGCCAAGTTTTCCTGAATTAATATATTTTCTCTAATTTTTTTCTTATGAAATGATAAAGCTACCCATTTCATTATGTATGAGGTCAATTGTTTTTTTATTGGAGATAAAATTAGAGTAGATATATGACCGAACCTAACCAACCCTACCTAACCTAACCTAACCTATCTTTATAGGTTAGGTTAGGTTAGGTAGCCGAAAAAGTTAGGTTAGGTTAGGTTAGGTAGGTTAGGTAGTCGAAAAACAATTAATTCATGAAAACTTGGCTTATTAGGCAAATGGGGCCTTGCATAGTAGGCTGAGAAGTGCGTTATGGCTACTAGGTACGACATATATATATATATATATATATATATATATATATATATATATATATATATATATATATAAATAAATTTTTACCTTGATTTTTTTCAGGACTATAATATTCATAGTACAAAAAGTGAGTTACTGGTGGTCCACTACATATATTGACCAAATAGTTACTATAAATGTCATCATTTCAGGAGGATGCGTTGACAGTGTTACAATTCTGAATATAATCTAAATATGATAAATACTCAGGCTACAAATTCACCACAAATAGTACTCTTACGGGAACATTTTGTGACTGGGATGCATACATACAAACAGGTGGGTGACTCACTTATAAATGGTCCAGCAAGAAACTCCGGTGATGGCCAAGCTGGTGGTGACGTCGTTAAACACACCATCGAGGTTCTCGGTATCAATAAAGACCAAGTACTGGGCGCCGGCCTGGAGCTTGTCGTGGTACAGCATCAACGTATCCATACACACGTCGAAGGCGCCTGCGTGTCTCACCGACGATACCTGCCAGCACAATGATGAAAGTCACTCTCTTACAAGCCGATTGATTGATTGATGAAGATTAAGCCATCCAAAAGGTGGCACGGGAATAAATAGCCCGTAAGTGGTGGCCCTTTTGAGCCATTACCAGTATCAAGAGCTGAGTCTGGAGATCTGTGGAGGTGCGAGTGCACCCTGCGTGACGGGAGATGCCTCCCGACTCTTACAAGCCTACTCCTGCTCTCTTAAAAAGTCTTAATGGCCTAATTCATTTATGTTAACCCTTGTATAAGTCATGTATATCTGGATATCTGGAGTCGTGCCATGTTTATAGGGTACAACTCGTGTTATGGGATCACACCTTTACACGGAGAAGTCTAGAAATGCCTTATACTAGACAGTATATAAATATACGTGATAGTCTCCAACTAGTTACTCTGGGACCTCCCCATCTCTACGGGGTACAACTGGCCTACCTGGGATCACCTCATATCTATGTGGGTACGATTATTTGTGTTAATTTGTATTAACATAAGACATATCCGCATTTATTGCACCTAACCTACATTATATATAGTTACATAGTTTGTATCAAGGTCATTATAACCATGAAATACTAAAAACCCCATCATGCAGGATATGTAGACATAAGGGCATATGATCAGTAGCTTACACTTGTAAATTTTGGATGAATTTTAAGGATATCCTCAAGAGGACGGGAGTGGATAAATTAATCACACAGCTCTTGGGTCGTGAGTTGCGAGAATATATATACCAATTAATACCCAAACTCTGTACTACCACAGACCATAAAATCATCTTGTACACTAATAAATAGAGAGCATGGGATGTGAAGGTGGTCCCTGCACACGGAGGCGGGCGGCGGGGCCACTACAGCTCTACACATTAGATCGTACTATTACAATTGTAAAATATTTGTCAACATATGTTCGAAAAATTCAAGCATAAGGGGGAAGGGAACTATCAAGAAAAGGGCCAATGTTCCACTTGCAACTTAGACGGGGTCAGGATAAGGATTTGGGATGGGACGGGAGGGGGGGGGGAGAGATGGTGCCCAACCACTTGGACGGTCAGGGATTGAACGCCGACCTGTATGAAGCTAGACCGTCGCTCTACCGTTCACCCCAAGTGGTTGAACAGAAACAAAAAAACAGGGATTAACACTAAAATTATTCTACTACATTTTGTTAAATATGGCACGAACATAATTGCGTTTCCTAACCAAGTAATTTTTTGACATAAATCTCCAGCACGCAAAAATATGCGAACGTATAACGGATTCAACTTGGAACATTTACAAAATAAAAAGTACATACGAAAATACAAATTGGAGAAGTAGACGAGTAGAACAAATTGCCAAGGAGCATCATTGAAATAAACCGTGATGTTGCTTTTTTAACCTATTCTTATATCTAAATGCTTTACCCGGTCCATGGAGGCAGTATCCAGGTCTTGGCAGCTGTATTCACCATAAGAGAAATCAAGAATGAAGTCGGATTTTACGGTGTAATCTGGATCCTCAAACAAGAACCACCTGCAAGTGTGATACAATCTTTCAGAGGCTGTATTCCACTATCCTAAAGCCTAACATCACATCTTGCTAAATAAAGAAATACAAATACAGGACCTGAAAATAATTATAAAATGCTTATTTTACAAATTACAAAATGATTATAAAATCTAATCTAATAATTTTGAGCTGTGTCGTCTACCTCTACACTATATATACAAGACTGGAACACTAAGATGCCACCGTAGACGACACTGCTCAAAACGCCACGACCACTACACCTGATTAATCTTTGTATGTGCTTCCCCTCCTTTTTTCGCTTTATTCGTCCCATTTACGCCTTATTCTTCACCTCTTTATGCATTACTCGATTGATTGATTGATGAAGATTAAGCCATTTTATGTTATTGCACATAAAATGCGTTCAAAAGGAATTACCGGAAAAATAGGCAGATGGATCTACAATTTCTTGACTAACAGAACCTAATGTGTAATAGTCAACAAAATAAAATCCAGCCCATCAACCGTGAAGAGCTCAGTCCCCCAGGGACTTGCTCCAGTACTTTTTCTCATCCTCATATCGGACATAGACAAGAACATAACCTATAGCACTGTATCATCCTTTGCAGATGACACGAGGATCTTCATGAGAGTAGGCAACATAGAGGACACGGCAAACCTCTAATCAGATGTAGATCAGGTCTTTCTATGGGCTACAGAAAATACTATGGTGTTTAACGAAGATAAGTTCCAGCTCATGTGCTACGGAAAAAATGAAAATACAAAAACGGAAACCACGTACAAAACTCAGGCAAATCATAATATAGAACGAAAAGGCAATGTAAAGGATCTGGGTGTACTCATGTCGGAAGACCTTACTTTTAAAGAACACAATAAAGTAGCCGTCACAACTGCAAGAAAAATGACAGGTTGGATAACAAGAACTTTTCACACTAGAGATGCTATACCGATGATGATACTTTTCAAAACGCTTGTGCTCTCTAGAGTGGAGTACTGCTGCACAATGACAGCCCCTTTCAAAGCTGGAGAAATTGCTGACCTGGAGAGTGTGCAGAGATCCTTTACTGCTAGAATCCACTCAGTAAAACATCTAAATTACTGGGACCGACTAAAGAGCCTAAATCTGTATTCCCTTGAGCGCAGGCGGGAGAGATACATAATAATTTACACAAGGAAAATAATTGAGGGGCTGGTGCCAAACCTGCATACAGAAATAACATCACATGAGACCAGAAGGCATGGCAGGATGTGCAGAATACCCCCATTGAAAAGCAAAGGTGCAACAGGTACTCTGAGAGAGAACTCTATCAACATCAGAGGCCCGAGACTGTTCAACACGCTTCCACTACACATAAGGGGCATAACTGGCAGACCCCACACAGTGTTCAAGAGAGAACTGGATAAACACCTCCAAAGGATACCTGATCAACCAGGCTGTGACTCATACGTCAGGCTGCGAGCAGCCGCGTCCAACAGCCTGGTTGATCAGTCCAGCAACCAGGAGGCCTGGTCGACGACCGGGCCGCGGGGACGTTAAGCCCCGGAAGCACCTCAAGGTAACCTCAAGGTAAGGTAAGGCCTCCAACCTTGGTCAAACAAAAAGACATTCTTACAGATAAAGATAGTAGCAGCAGCCAGCATGGATACGTGGTGTGGCTCCAACTTACAGTCCAACACCGCAGATGGACTTGGTCCTGTCACCATAATTGGTGAGCTCGGACGTGTCAGCGGTGAGGTTGACCAGGAGGTTTTGGTGAGCCCTTTCCTCGTAGAGCTCCAGGAAGGGAGGGCCGCACGCCGCGCTCATCGTGGCCACCATCGTCGCCACCACCACCACCACCACACTCAGCCTCGGCACACACATCTGGGAGCATGTACAGGTGTTCACGGCGGCACAGAAAGCTAATATATAATAATATTAATTTATATTTGAGAAAATTCATATTTTAATTGAATGGCATGTTCAAATTTTTAACATAATAGATACCCTTAAAAAGATTCATAGAAAACACCGACCTTACCTAACCTTGTTAGTATCTTAAGATAAGCATCTTATTGCTTCGTAATTACAATTATTACCTAACCTATAATAGGTATAGGTTAAGTAATAATTGTAATTACGAAGCAATAAGATGCTTATCTTAAGATACTAACAAGGTTAGGTAAGGTCGGTGTTTTCTATGAATCTTTTTAGGGGTATCTATTATGTTTAGTATATCACCTATGCACGTAGTTATAAAGTCAATATTGACTTTACGAATTTGCGAGAACGGGTTGTCAAATTTATGAATGCGTCTTTGGGGTTGACCGCTGGATGGAATGAACATAGACTGAGGACGGGTTGGCCCTTGTCCACCTAGCAGTAAATAAGTACCCAGGAGTTAGCTTGTGGGGGTTGCATCCTGGGGAGGGTCAGTAATTCGACCCTCAGAAGGGAGGGGACACATCGATATAAGCCTGACATATACTGTACGTATAACCAGACTTCCTGTTCCCTAACACAATTAATTATTTAGGCTTCGGCGGGTAGGCAGTTCCATAGGTTTATAACCCTATGGGTAAAAAAAAAAAATCTGTTTTCTGTCCTACATTGTGGCTTGATGAACTTGAAGCCGTTGATTCTTGTTTGTGTTACATCTGACTTTTAAAAAAGTGGTCTGAATCAATATCCTCCAAATTGTTCATCGCTTTAAAAGTTCGATGAGATCAGCCCCGTCATGTCTGGTTTGCTTCGTTGTTAATCCCTCGACCGTTCCTGGTATGAGAGTCGACTTAGTTCTGGGATGATTTTTTGTTGCCCCGGTGATGAACTTTCTCCAGAGCATACATGTCCTTCTGAAATGTAACACACACACACACACACAGAGCAACAGTTTCAAGCTCAACAAGTGTTGGACAAAACAAGAGCTGCTTTTTTCAGCCATGGAACCGCCTACCCGCTGAAGCCGTAACTGCCAAGAGATTGCTGCAGTTCAAAATTAAGTTAGATCAAATCATGAAAAATGGGGGAACCTTTGACAAGCCGCCGGCTTCCTGTTTACGCCGAGGCCACTAGAGAGATGGTGGTTCTCAGGTAAATATAATATCAACAACACGAGAGTTCCAACCAACTAACCTTGATGTAATCCTCAGATCAACTGATGATGCAGGCTGGGTAGTCAACCATATATAGGCAGATTCTTATCTCGCAGCTTATCAAGATTGGAACTTGCGTAGTTAAATGAATTTTGGGGTTGAGATTCTGAGCCCATTATATGTGTTTCACAGGATGGGTATAACTGGTTGATACCTGGTTAATGGGGTTCTGGGAGTTCTTCTACTCCCCAAGCCCGGCCCGAGGCCAGGCTTGACTTGTGAGAGTTTGGTCCACCAGGCTGTTGCTTGGACCGGCCCGCAGGCCCACATACCCACCACAGCCCGGTTGGTCCGGCACTCCTTGGAGGAATAATGGGTTCCATTACCGCTCACTGGATGGGTTTGGGGTCTAATAATGCTGTAACATGCTCGTGCCTGAAGCAGGACACAAATACAACAAAATTATTAGTGATGGTAACAGAGTCCATTTCATGTTGGCATTCGAATGTATAATAGAGCTCATAGCTAGCCAAAGAATCTGTCTATAAAGAAGGGGTTGAATATGACCTTCGATTGCCTACATGCAACTTGAAAACAATAATACATCAAGAACTTGAACAAAACCTTGTGGATCTGAGGCAAAGTGAAATCTTCAATAGCAGTGAATTGTCAATCAGTCTACTATCATGCGAGAAGAGCCACACATATATGGTTCATCTCATAAAATGAGCAGAATCCTAGATGTTATTACTGCTCAGCTTAGACTACAATAAGTATATCTGGAAATTTTCATTGACTGCTGATGTAGACCTGACCAAATGTAAACTGTGTCAACAAAATAATTCGCACACCCTTGAGGTAACCTTGAGGTGCTTTCGGGGCTTAGCGTCCCCGCGGCCCGGTCGTCGACCAGGCCTCCTGGTTTGCTGGACTGATCAACAAGGGACTACTGATCAACCACCCTCCGTCACTATGTGATGGAGTACGAAAAGATACATAAATTTAGAAACAGCTCTATGCCAAAGGTTCAAAAAATGTGTAAATATTTCATTCAAAATTATCTAATACTGTGTCAGAAATTTTATCAAAATATCCCCAGTTTGCTAACTGTAGGTAGTAAATGTGGGCGAATGTAAACTTTCCGGATGGAGGTGTTGGGGGGGGGGGGAGGGATGTGCATGATAAATCAAATTATGAAACTAGCTGACCACATATGTAAGTTGTTTAGCATAGAGACTAACATGTGGTCGTTCTCGAGCCCATTGACATGATAATATACAATAAAATTGTATAACTTGCTTAGCTAAATGAATTTTGGAGTTCAGTTCTGAGCCCATTATGTGCCTCCGTAACCTTTTCCACTTCCACCCACCTAGGAATGTTATGGGGAGCATAATAAATTAAATAAATTATATCATTCATTCTCTTTTTTAAAAACCTTTATATTCCTACATGTTATGGCATTTAAATAAAATGTGTCATTTCTGTAATTTTTCCACCTAGTCAAATTTGTGACTTTCCGCACAGTTTTTTCCTAGCCAAAATTATGACTGTTTCTGTAACTTTTTTCCCAGTCAGCGGGAAACCAACAGCTTTACCAGGAATTATTGTCATAATCATCAGCGTCATCATGTTTCCAGATTGCGCAGCGCGGAGAGCTTGAGTCTGAAGGACAAGAGACAGTGCAGGAAGACAAAGGGCAAATGATACCAAACTGACATAACTGAAGACACATACACAACAGAACAGCACAGTTGAGTTAGATTCCCGGCCAGGAAGGAAATGATTGGGCACATTTTAACACGCTAACCAAACCTTAGATATAATGAAGCGTAACGGGGTGAGAATAGCTTCAGCTACCTCATCCCTTTGTGTGTATTTTACCTCAATAAACTTATTTCAATTTCAATTTCAATTTCAATGAAGCGTACCTTTGACTTTAAGGAAAAGAAGGTATAGTGATTAAATTGTATAAATCATTGATGCGCCCTCACTTGGATATTGTATCCAAGCATGAAGATATCCTCTGCAGACGGACATTGCAGACAAAGTACAACACCGGGCAACCAAAATTATTCCAGAACTAAGTCAACTCTCGTACCAGGAACGTTTGAGGGCCTCAGGGCTAACAACACTACAAACCATACGTGATAGGGCTGATCTCAACGAAACCTTTAAAATACTAAACAATTTGGAGGATGTTGATCCAGACAATTTCTTCAAAAAGTCAAATATAATACAAACAAGGAGCAACGGTTTCAAGCTCAACAAGTCACAATGTAGAACTGAAAACAGATGCTTTTTCACCCACAGGGTTATTTTAACCCATGGAACCGTCTACCCGCCTTAGCCCTAAATGACAAAACTGTTAAATTTTAAAACCCAGCTGGTAAAAATTATCAGAGCAAATGGGGGGACCTTTGAGAAGCCGCTGGCTGCCTGTCCTCGTCGAGGCCATTAGTGTTAGTGGCCCTCGGGTAAATTTAAGTAAATTTTCTCTCACCTAAAGCCTCTGCTCACCTTACAGTAAGTAGGTACCCGGGAACTCTTACTCTTATTTTCTCAAAAGTCATAAGGAACACTTCAAGGCCAACAGATACGTCGACTAGCGGTCTTTCCGAACATAATACTCAGTGAACACCAACACATGTTAACTGACATCAACCCTGTGAACACCAACACATGTTAACTGACACAAACACTCACTGGACACCAACACATGTCAACATACCTTCATCTGAATGATCTTAGGCTCAACAAACAAATGCCAGCCATATTCAATATACAAAGGGCCTTAATAATTCGTAAAGACATTATCTGACAAGCATTTCTTACTTTGGCTTGGTGTTGTATACAAGGTCCCTCAACTGCTGGAAAGTTATTAAGGCTTATAAATTATTACAGCCCAACCAGCTGCAATTGTGCTCTTGTCAAACTAAACTATACTCTCAAGTGTATATACACCGAGAAATGGGTACACCTCTCTGTGTATATAGTATATATTTTATCAATGTAAGTGGTTTGCAAACCTAAACAATTTATTTATTAAATTTTCAACCCATCCTCCTGTTTAGACAGTATTCATAGTAACGATGAAGACCATCGTACATATATTAACGTAAAAGGAAATTCGGTACTATTGAATTTGGACAAAATAGAAAATGTTTTGTACTGATGTTACAAAGAAAACGTAACAACCTAACCTCCCTAGGCCTAATACACGCTATCTGAAGCCTAATATAGTACATACTAGGCTATACTAGGCCTAGGAATATTTAAGTTTGTTTTTAAGCTTTATTTGTTTCGGACTTCTAGTATCTAATTGTCCATTGTGTCATTGTATGTACGGTGGTCCACGTAGTTACAAAAAGTACTCCCTAAACAGCGAGGATGGGTTGGAAATTTAGAAAATGGTTACATAAAAATAATTCTTTAATGTCAGACTTTTACTCGATATCGTAATTGCTGCAAGATTTTCATTTTATAAAATATTTATTTATAGGTAAAACCTCGGGTAAACAAAATGTTTAATTAAAAAATTATGATAGGTTACAGCCACAAGTGTTATATAGAAAATAGTGAGCATTTGGCGAGGACATGCCATTCACGGCACCTTAATTCATTATATATACATTATGTGTGTGTTTACTCTCCATCCCACAATGTAATCACCCTGAACTATCAGTAACTATCGCAGAATTGCATCATACATTGTTGTTCAACCTTGGGCCCAAAAATCATACTCTGCACCTGGGTTTGCTCCCAGACCTTTTTTTTTAATTTACACTTTTGACTTCAATGATCATTATTAACGTTACCTTTCACATTATGCAGGCTCGGAGCTGTTATCAAATCAAAACCTTTATTCATGTGTACATTTATAATTGGGAAAATATACATACAAATTATAATACATTAAATACATGAAGTGTGTGACAGTAACAGCCTAGCACGTACGCATTGTCATTATCAGAGTTGATAATCAGAAACTTTATTTGTAACAACTTGTACAAATAATTAAAGTAATGGCTGGCCTAAACAGAAAGCTAATCAAACTTCCATTTTTCTCATAAAGTGGCTTAGCTTACAATTTAAAGTTATCTTACAAGTTGAAAGGTGATGTATACTGCAAAAACAAAATGAGGTTTACCATTAGGGCCGTAAGACAACACATTGCAGGGCAAGCTCCACAATATGTCTACCCCAATTACCTGTGCTAGGCCCACTAGTGGCACTAGCCCCACTAGTTGAACTAGCCGTGCTAGTGGCACTAGCCCTACCAATTGCAGTAGCCGTACTAGTGGCACTATCCTCATTAATTGTACTAGCTGTACTAGTGGCACTAGCCCCACTAATTGCACTAGCCGTACTAGTTGTAAAGATGTCAAAACGTGGCAAAGCAAAATACAAAAATGTTAAAACGTTGGAAACAAAAGTCAAAACCAAATGGTTAGAACATCTTTAGATAAATTACATAATATCAGACAGTATGGTTTTCGATCAGGAAGATCCTGTGTAAGAAATCTGGTTAGTTTCTTTGATAGAATAGAGCCACAGAGATTTTACAGGAAAGAGATGGGTGGGTTGACTCTGCCTATCCGGACCTCAAAAAGGCTTTTAACAAAGTCCCACACAAGCGGCTGTTTTGGAAACTGGAACATGCTGGAGGGGTGACAGGGAGATTTCTGACTTGGATGAAAAAAATTCTAACTGACATACAGATGGGGGCGGTAATCAGAGACAATGTATCTGACTGGAGGAGTGATACTAGCGGAGTACCACAGGGTTCAGTTCTGGCATCAGTAATGTTCATCGTCTACATAAACGATCTACCAGAAGGAATATAGAATTATATGAACATATTTGCTGATGATGCTAAGCTACTGGGGGAGAAGATAGGGGACGTAAACGATTGGCATGCCCTTCAAATTGATCCAGATACAATAATTGCTTGGATAACCATGTGACAAATGGAAATGAATGTGAATAAATGTCATGTTATGGAATGTGGAATCGGAGAAAATAGATAACACACAACTTACATATTATGTGGAAAGTAATTAAAGAACAAAGAGAGATCTGGGGGAGGTTTTGGATAATAGACTGTCACCAGAGGAACACATAAAGAACATTTTGCGAGGAGCGAATTCATTGATTTCCAACTTCAGAATCGCCTTTAATTACATGGAT